CTTCATGTCTTTTTTTTAGTTGATTTATGTGGCAAAGTGAAAAAACTGGCTAAAACAAGAGGAATGTTTGCAAAAAACAATATGAGTTATTTGTACTCATGCAAACCAATAAAGAAACAATACAAATTAATAAACTGAATTACAGTAATATGTGTATTATGATAAAATACAAAAAGCAATGAACATCTTTAGGAAGTCATAAAGTTATAAACATTTTCCAAAATATCTCTGTGTTCATCAAACATATTTTCATGCTGTCTGAGCATGATCAGGTAGTTCCGTATGGCTTATTTTTTTCTTCAGTTGTTTATTCATATTACTGCAGTGATTTCAGCAGTTTTGACACAGTATGACACCACTCATAATTTAATATTTAGAGTCATATTACCTAAAAGTCAGGAGCTTTATTATTAGCCTTAGAGCCAAACAGAAATGAGCAATATTTGCATGTATTTATTCTACATACTGTATATTAAAAGTGCTTTTTACTGCAAATAGAACTGAGTTCTTGTTCTTGGAAACGAATGAGGCTATACATTAAAACTACTACAGTCAGCTGAATGCTTTGTGTTATGCAAACACTGTATACTTTGTGCATGGTTGGCATGGTCCTAATGTTATTTCAAGAAAAATATAAAAATAAAGAGCATAATGGTGAATTGTGTGTTTTGTGAGTTCATGTTTTCATGAGTTTACATATCTGTTTTGTAAAGCTGTGAACTTAAAAGTAAAAAAATCAATTAAGAAAAATGATGCCTCCAAAAATAACAGTTTTTTTTTTTTTTTAGGTTTATACCCTCTGTCCAATTTAATTTAACAGCATCTCAGTTTAGTGAAATGGAAGTTATTACCATTTTACAACTTTATATTAATAAATAATCTCTGCTAATTCACACAGTAATCTTAATGCAAAACAGCTGAGCAGTGTAAAAAAAAGTACTAAAGGTGTTCTTGTCAATCATCAACCGGAAATATTATCACAAATCATATTTGTGTTAACAAATGTTAATCTGGTTAACAATTATTCAAAATACAGATTTTTTTTTTTTAAATAGTTCATGTGGAAGTAAACCCCACCTAAAAAACAGATGTTTAAAATAGCAGAACAGAAGGTTAATGCTTAATAAGCATTCACACATTAATCCAAACCCATATTGTCCAAAAATAACTTGGAGACAGTAATATATGCATTCATTACATCTAGGCTTGATTACTGCAACTCACTCCTGTTTGGTATCAGTCAGACCTCCATTGCATGACTACAACTGGTCCAGAATGCTGCAGCCCGATTTTTAACCAGTACTGGCAAAAGAGAGCACATTACACCAGTTTTGGCCTCCCGGCACTGGCTACCAGTTCACCTTCAAATCCAGTTCAAAATCTTTCTGTATGTTTTCAAATCACTGAACAGTTCTGCCTCCTCCTATCTCACTGATCTGCTGCAGCCATATGTCCCACCGCGTTCTCTGAAGTCAGTGGACCAGTTGCTTCTCTCAGTTCCAGGAACCCGTCTTAAGCGCGGAGGTGACAGGGCCTTCTCTGTCGCAGGTCCAAGACTTTGGAACGAGTTGCCTGTACCTGTCAGGCAGACCCCCTCCCTCACAGTTTTTAAATCCCACTTAAAAACCCACTACTATTCCCTGACATTCAACACTGTATCATTTGTGTTAAACCTGTATGCATCACACCGTGTTAGTCATTATGTTATTATCTGTTGTTATTTTGTTTCTATATTCTTATTTTACATTATGTTTTGAGTTGCTGTGTGCTCTCCCTGTTTGTTTCTGTTTGTACAGCACTTTGGTTGGCCCTGTCGCTGTTTAAAGTGCTCTATAAATAAAATGGTATGGTATGGTATGGTATGGTATGGTATGGTATGGTATGGTATGGTATGGTATGGTATGGTATGGTATGGTAATCGGTTCTCACTTAGCTGGTTAAAAACTGTTTTTCAGAATGTTGCTGTTCTGCAAGATCTGAGACAGGGTTTAATGGGTGGGTGACACCTAGTGTCCAAAATTGATCATACTTTCCTTTTAAGTGGTTCAGAGCTACAGTAGTGGTTCTCACTCTTCTGGTCTTTTAGTTGGTCCTCACTATGCAATAAATTCAAGTGTGTGTGTGTGTGTGTGTGTGTGCGTGTGTGTGAGTGTGTGTGTGTGTGTGTGTGCGCGCGCGCGCGTGTGTGTTTGTGGACATGAATGGTGTTGAAACAAAGTAAAGTGCTCTGTGTTGTCATCATTGTATGTTTGCTATTGTATGGAAATACAATAGCAAAATTGATTCTCTGCATTTAACCCATCGCACATGGAATACACCCAGGTGGAGCAGTGGGCAGCTATGTAAGTGCCCGGGGAGCAATTAGGGATTAGGTGTCTTGCTTAGAGACACCATGGCATGTGGGAATAGCTGGGAGTTGAACCTGGAACTTTTGGGTCCCGGGTTGGCTGCCCTATCTCTACCGCATCTCGACCCCCAAAGGTTGTTTTAGATCAAAAGAATTATTTCAAACAGTGGCGATCAATGGTTGTTGATTATCTGCTGCTACTGCTGATTATCCATACTGCTGATTATCCATACTGCTGATTATCCTGCTGATTTAAGCTGCTGTATTCATACCCATCTGCTCACGACAGTCTCATGTTCAGGCTACTGTTTAATACACTGTATTATTTGACATTATCAGTGTTTAGTGTACATCTTAGATCCTCGTATACTGTTTCTTTTTATACTTTATATTTTTCTAATTTTGGGTGTAACTGGGACCTTGTGTACACAATTTTGTTCCACCTCATGTACAACATGTGATGTGAATAACAATAAAGAACCTTGAACCTAATGTTTACTATGTTCCATTGGAAATGAAATACGGGTTTATGAGAATTTCTGAATCATCACATGTTGTTTTTATTTATATTTTACACAACGTCCCATTTAAAACTAGGGTCCATCCTTACGCATTTTATAAATTAATTGTAGAATTTAGTTACCAAAAGGTGAATCTGTCTGAGGTGGAGAGCCTCGGGCAGCAGGATAAGTTTAACTTAAGTACAAAACTAAACATATGAAAGCAGCTTGACATGTTTAATTTATGGTCAGTGATTTTGCACATTTATATAGTATTTGTTTCATAATAAAAGAGGCCAGATAAGTAAAAAATATTTGTTAGACAGGGAAGACAACAGTGAACAAACAAACAAGTTTTTAAAAGCCACACAACATACAGTACCAGAAAGCAATTCAATTCAGTTTATTTATATAGCAACAGAAGTCATCTTGGGGCACTGCACAGACACATTCATATACATAAAAAGTAAGTTAACACTATTTATATGAGGAGCAGACTGCTTTGCATTTAACTTCATCACAGCTCTCATCTTGAGCAAGCATGAAGGCGACAGTGGAAAGGAAAAACTCACTCATGAGGAAGAAACCTCTAGAACCAAACTCAGGACAAGCAGCCATCCGCTTCACCTTTTTATGTATTGAATTGTGGTTGATTTTTGTGTCTATTACAGACATTTTCACTTCAAAATAAACGCACAAATTAAATATGAAAATTGACCCCTGAAGCTATTTACCCAACCTAATTCAAACATTTGCACATTTAAATGCCACAAAGGTAGATTGACCCCTGTTTATTTTATTTAAACAAATCTAAAGCGTTTTAGTTCAAGTGGACCTAATAGGACGAATTTAAGACTGAACTTGTGTCACCTAAAATTTGTCTTAGTTTTAGCACTTCATTTAGCACTCTTTTCACACTCAGTAAAGGAGTTCAGGTCTGAGTCTCAGTGGCCCTGACACAAAAATAAACATCAATAAAATAGGAAACCAGTGGTGGAGAAACTACTCTAACACTGTACTTAAGTAAAAGTATAAATAAACAGACAAAAATGTACTCTAGTAAAAGTAGAAGTACCACATTAATGTTTTTACTTAAGTAAAAGTAAATAAGTACTTGCTTTTAAAAATATTTAAAGTATTAAAAGTAAAAGTATTTGCTGAATGTATTACCTAATGCAATGGTCAACATATCTTTAAGTCTGCGTACCTTATGTATATTTTCTGTAATAAATTAATAGTGTTGAGTCATTTTACTGAACAATGCTGCAGATAATACATGTTTTATTGTGTTTATTCTGTGACACAGTTCACACTTGGACTTGTGATTCTGTGCGTCAGAATTTCAGGGATGACCTGCAGAGTTAAATGTCATTAATCAAAATAAGAAAGAGGATTGATTATACCTTTGAAAGTCTTTATTTAACACAAAGCAAAACCAATGTGTCATTTTAACTGCAGTAAACACATTTAAGTAAAAGTTGTCTGCCTGAATAAAAGGAACATTAGACACAATTAACAAAGGAATAGACCCTGATCATTTCAACTCCAGTTTGTCATCGACTCTAGTTAAAATACTGTCTAATCAACCTTGTAATTGGTTAATAGTGAACAATAGTTTAACTTCCTGACACCATTTTCAAAACTTGGACCCGAGTGTCAAGTCATTTGGAGACATCTCTCGTCTCCTGTCCTCAATGAGCTCTTCTCAGTGATTCAATGGACCAACTCCCCTCTCACCATTGGTTACTTTCAAATTAACAAACAAATAAAAACATTGCAACGTGAATGTAACTTGTAACACAACGCATTATAGAAATGTAGTGTAGTAGAAAGTACAGATACTTAATGTAAAATGTAGTGGAGTAAAAGTCAAAAGTACCCATGTTTAACTCTACTTAAGTAAAGTACAGATACATGAAAAGTGTACTTAAGTACAGTAACAAAGTACTTGTACTTGTACTTCGTTACATCCCACCACTGTAGGAAACACACATGTACAGAGTTACTGTACTGATGTGTTTTATGTTACATTCAATCCACATAAGAAGAGAACCTGAAGAAAATAAAAATTGTCGCTGACGTGTAGTATTACTCCCGGTCGGTAGGGGCGCGTCAACATTTCTCTTAAGGGCCGACTCCGACAGGAAGAGTCATTCTCGATAAGAAGAAGGCGGAAGAGTGGTTCTAATCTTATCAACTGTGTCGCACGTAGTGTCCATCTTATGGTTGGATTTTGGTAAGTGGCTTTTTGTGACCTTTTCGGTGCGAACTTTTTGTGTATATCTAAATAAATAAAAAATGTATCTAAGTTGTTGCTGAAACATTCTAAGGATCCCCGGGTTGACGTGAACTCCATTTTGTCGAGCGTGAAACCAACGAAATGTACCCGCTAGCTTCACGAAGCTAAAATTAGCATCAAGACGAGGATCCCGGCCTGCCTCCCCGTGTTTGTGTGGCTAAACTTAACCCAACCGAAGCAACGCGTTAATGTATTTATTACATAAGTGTTCGGGTTTATTTATTGAAACGTTTAATCTAATAAATGAGTTTAAAGGCTCCAAACTGGAGTTAAAAACACGGGCCGAGTCAGAACAGAAACACAAGTAGCAGCCACCATAAACTGTCAACGCATGGTTCTTCGCATTAAATCGTTGAAACATAAGTTCTCACGTTAATGTAGTAATTTATTGATTTACATTTTGCGTCGTGTTATTCGACTTGATGGCATCAGATTAGTATAGCTTATTTAGCGTGCTGCTAATTTACACTTAATTTAAATTGCCTCACTGACGTCAACAAGGGGGATGTTTTTTTGTTTTTTTTCCGGTTTAGCCATCCATCCATTATCTTTGACCCAACTGTTGGTTGTCATAAATGTCCAGTGTTTGCCACACTTTTTGTGTAAGAAGTTGAAAGTAAAAATACTGTTAGAGTAGATAAATAATAATAATAATTTAATAGCTGCTTCATGCAGATGATTTAATGTATAAGCTATAAAACAACTCATGATATAAGGTGCATATTGATGGCATTTTGTGGATGGGTTTTAATGCAGTGAATAGCTAATAGAAATGATGCTTTAGGCAGTATCTAGTTCACTGACCCTTAATCTTTAAAATAAATGCCATGACTATCATTATATTTGTTGTTTAGGTGAGCTGATATGATTGTCTGGCTAGCTAGGGCTGAGCAATGTGGACCAAAATTAATATCTTGATATTTTAACAAAAATGGCGATATATACCGACCCCCCCCCCCCCCCCCCCACCAAAAAAAAAAAAAAAAAAAAGGTCACACTAATATTTCATTGGACCACCTTTTAGCTTTGTTTACAGCATGCATTCACTGTGGCATGTTTCGATAAGCTTCTGCAATGTCACAAGATCAATTTCCATCCAGTGTTGCTTTAATTTTTCACCAAGATCTTCCATTGATGACTTGGCATGATGGGTGCATCACTTCACCTGCCTCTCTTCTTACCCTGATGCTCCCATCACTCTGGAACAGGGTAAATCTGGACTCATCAGACTACATGACCTTCTTCCATTGCTCCAGAGTCCAATCTTTTTGCTCCCTAGCAAATTGAAGCCTTTTTTTTTTTTTCTGGTTAGCCTAGTGGTTTTCTTAAGGCTACACAGCTGTTCAGTTCCCTTTGCATTGTGTGTGTGGAAATGTTCTTACTTTCACTATTCAACATAACCCAGAGTGCTTCTGTTGTTTTTCTTCAATTTCATTTCACCAAACATTTTAAGTGATCTCGCCGATCACGATCGTTCATGATTTTTTTCCGGCCACATTTCGTCCTCTAAGACGACGGGTCCCCACTATCCTTCCAGTTTTTAATAATGCGATGGACAGTTCTTAACCCAATCCCAATTTTAGTAGTTTCTGCAAACTCTTAGATGTTTTCTCTGCTTGATGCATGCCAGTGATTTGACCCTTCTCAAACAGACTGACATCTTTTCCACAATCACGCAATGTGTCTTTCGACATGGTTGTTTAAGAAATGAGAAGCAACTCATTGTACCAGTTGGGGTTAACTTGTTGCCAGCTGAAAAATAATCGCCCATGCAGTAATTATCCAATAGGAGGCTCGTACAAGCTTTGTACCAATACCATACCATACCAATTTATTTATAAAGCACTTCAAACAGTGACAAAGCACACCAAAGTGCTGTACAGGGACAAACAGAACAAGCACACAGCAACAGAATAGTCACACAGGCACATTTATTAACAAACAGTTGTAACTCTACAAAATAAATGTCTAAAAAATAAAATAAACTTTTTTCCCTCTAACAAAATCAAAAACACAGCTGTGTACTTAAAATGTAAACAGAAAAGATAAAGCAAAACTGAACAGCCTACAATATTTTTACTGTCTTGTTTTTACATCTAAAATAAATATTTTTCAAATAGTCTATTTATAAACTTCTGCTTTTACTGCATGTGTTTCTCTTTTGATACAGCTGGGGGTATTGTTTCAGGGACACGTTGGCTCAAACTTTGTGTTTCATCTTCTGACTCTCAGCATATTCTGTCGCGTGGAAACTCTTCAAATAAAACAAGTTAGATGTGCTCCCACCGCTAGTTGGAACGACTCTCCGTCACATTTTGCAGCACACTGAAACCTGCAGTTTATCGGATCTTGGATAGCCGAACCACTTCCACGCTGCCGAATTAGTTTTTCCTCTCAACAATTATGTCATCTGCTTTGTCTTCGCTTGTGAAAGCTTGTTCACTCACATTCTGAAGGCTCCAGTGCACTCATGCGTCCTGTCACCCTCGCGAAAACTGTGTGCACTGTCCGCAGAGGGTTGAGACTTCATACTCGAGCCTCCATGTGAAGCGGCTGCAGAGTAGCTCCACAGACAAGGGGCGTTTACCTTTGGGACAAATTGAGGTTGTTGATTGGTCATTTGCTAGTACGCCTACTAGATTGATTGACATGTCTCAAAAAAAAAAAAATTAGATGGCAGCCCCAGCTGCAGTGGTGTTCTGTTTTATATGTTGTTGTTGTTAAAAAAAAAAAAAAAAAAAGGGAAGCGCTGGCCTTGCAGCCCACACATCAGACCAGCACACCAGGAACTCTCCAGATCCTCCTGCAGCCACGTTGGACCTAATTTTAATTCGCTCGTGACAAGTTCCTTCATTTCTCCCCATTTTAATCATGGCGTCAATGGGGGAGGAGGAAGAGATCGCTTGCCTCTTGGGGGGGGGGGGGGGGGGTCAAAAGAAAAGGCCATTAAACCAGATCAGGGATGAAGAAGGGGAATTTAATACATTGGTGTCTCATACAAAACAGTTCGTCACCAGGCAGTTTAGTGTGCAACACTGAGTACACGTACGTGGTCGTAAAAATTGAGCTTTGCACGGACATGCCCTGTGGGCATCCGCTTCAACCCTACGGTACGTGCGGACCCACCTACTCACGAGTATACTGGAGGCTTGACAGTCATGGGCAGTCGGTTTGAAGCGAAAACTACGGGCGTTAGAGATTAGCCTAGCCTGCTACTGCTAGCGCCTTCTGGACTCGAGCTCTGGGTAACATCTACGTCATCGCACATTTATGTAGTTGTGCTGCACCTTGTTTCTGTCAGAGTTGAAACTTAAGTGGCCGCTTCAACCCGAACAGAAAAAAAAAAGTCTGTGAAACGCTGTAATCAAATCGAAATATCGAAAATGTGCTTAAAACTCATATCACCATTATTGAATAAAAGTATATTGCGACATATATCTATATCAAATTATTGTCCAGCCCTACATTTATCCCACCTGTGTAAATGGAGCCTAACAAAGACTGTAACAAACCCCTATTGTGTGGATTTGATAGTACAATCTGCATGTATTTAGCTTAGCTCAGCAGCTGAGATAACCTACATGCAAAGCTGACCCATAGCTTTATAATTCTATCCCCCGCATTTTTTTTTTTTTTTTTTTTTTTTTATTGTGGAAGCTCCTCAGATGAGTAGTATGGATGTTTTGTGCCTACTGAATGAGAAACAAATTGCCCCTCGGGGATAATAAAGAATCTTGAACTTGATGGCCGCTTGCTGTTAACGGGGCTGAGTGATGCAATAACAGCAGCTTTGAGGAAGCCATTTTTGTGAAGTGAACCCGTTCATCGTTAATCGGGGCGGGGGTCTCCGTGTTCAACAGTGATTATTCTGGTTAAAGATTCATGAGTCCAACAGCCTCAGGGTAGAAGCGAATGAGGCTACCTGTATAAATAACGCTCAAATAAAATAAGAGATTGTCTTACTCGTTAGAGCAGTGGTGCTCATTCTTGGGTCTTGAGGGCCCCTGTCTTGCATGTTTTCGATGTTTCTCTGCTTTGACACGCCTGATTTGAATAAATGAACAATTAACTGGTTTCTGCAGAACTTGCAGACCTGCTGAATAGCAGGGAAATGACAAAAATATGCAGGATAGTTGCCCTCGGGAACCAGGATTGGGCACTCCTGTGCTAGAGCGACTGAAATCGGTCGTGTGACTATTGCGCGCCAGCATGTCGGTAGACTCCAAAGGAAAAAAAATGTATAAATTGTCAGAGTAGGCGGCGCCAGCCACTTAAGTAAATGGCGATATAGCCGCCTGTTATTGATAAGGAAGACAGCCAAGTTGAAAGAAATAGTCTGAACTGGGGTAGGCGATATGGCTCAAATATAAAATCGTGATATTTCAGAGCATTCTGATGGTAATGATAAATTTCGTAATATAACAAAAAACAGAAATCATGTTATTAATTTGACAAAATTAACATGTTACTTTGTGGTTATTATATAAAAACAAAAAAAACAACGGGTTAATTTTACTGAAATTACTTTATGTAGTAAAGTATTCAGTCTCAAAGTATAAAAATAAAAATGATCCTTTTGTTATTTAAATTTAAAAAGTATGCACAAAATATATTCAAAAAGCGTTCAATACAAAAACAACTGGACTTTATTTGTAACAGAAGACGTTTCGCTCCTCATCCGAGGAGCTTTCTCAATTCAAAGAGCAGAGAGTGAGAGATACAGGTTATAAGGCTGAGTGAGATAAGACACACACACACATAAGACACACACACACACACATATATGTAGATTGGCAGTTCACACCTAAAAACCTAAACAGTAGGTCTTTTGTTCCTCTAATTCACAGTCGAGGCCCTTCTGTTTCCATCAGGTGTGAAACCGGCTGGGAATCTGTTTTAAAGTTGCATTATACGTTTTTGAAAGTGGAAATCTGAGGCCTCCTCCTCTGTTAAGAGACGGCTTTTCTCTTTTTACATAAATTGCTTCCTTCACCCCCCTCTCAAACCATCTGTGTTCTCGGTCCAAAATGTGCACATTTTGGTCCTCAAAAGAGTGTCCCTTATCTGTGAGATGGAGGTGAACAGCTGAGTCTTGTCCTGTGGAGCTGGCTCTCCTGTGTTGAGCCATGCGTCTGTGAAGAGGCTGTTTAGTTTCTCCAATGTAGAGGTCTGGACAGTCCTCGCTTCACTGGACCTCATACACTACACCACTCTGTTTGTGTATGGGTGTTTTGTCCTTAGGGTGGACCAGCCTCTGTCTGAGAGTCCTGCTGGGTTTGAAATGTACTGGGATGTTGTGTTTGTTGAAGATCCTTCTGAATTTCTCTGATACTCCAGCAACATAAGGGATGACAATGTTTTTACGTGTGTTGTTCTCCTTTTTCTGTTTATTGGTGTGTTTTGTAGATTTCCTCTCTGACTTGACAAAAGCCCAGTTAGGATATCCTCATGTTTGAAGAGCTTCTTGAACGTGTTTCAGTTCCTTTTCCTTCCCTTCTGTCTTTGTGGGGACGCATTCGGCCCGATGTTGTAAAGTTCTGATGACAGAGAGTTTGTGTTCAAGTGGATGGTGGGAGTCAAACAGAAGATACTGGTCTGTGTGGGTTGGTTTCCTGTACACTTCAATGTTGAGGCTGTCCTCTCTCTCCATCTGAACCAAACAGTCCAAAAAAGGCAGCTTGTTGTCGTTTGCATCCTCTCTGGTGAACTTGATGTTGTTATCGACCGAGTTAATGTGTCTGGTGAACGCTTCTATTTCCTTGGCTTGGATTTTGACCCAGGTGTCATCCACATGACGGAACCGATGGCTTGGCTTTGTTCCCTCATAGGAGTGTAGGGCTCTCTGTTCCACTTCTTCCATGTAGAGATTGGCAACAATGGGTGACACTGGAGATCCCATGGCACAGCCGTGCTTCTGTCTGTAAAAACTGTCATTAAACTTGAAATAAGTGGTGGAGAGGCAGATATCCATCAGGGTGCAGATCTGGTCTGGGGTGAAGTTGGTCCTGTTGATTAAGTCCTTGTCTTGTAGGAGTTGTTTTCTGACGGTTTCTACTGCTTCAGAGATGGGTATGCATGTGAAAAGAGAAGTCACATCATACGATACAAGGGTTTCTCCTGGGGTTAGTTTCAAGTGTTGAACTTTGTTAGCAAAATCAATGGAGTTCTTTATGTGATGAGGTGTGTTTCCAACAAGAGGAGCTAAAATATCAGCCAGATGTTTAGCAATATATTGTATGTCACTGAGTTCATTTTGAATTCATCATGTCCTGGATGACTGAGAATCTTCACCAGCATATGCACAAAATATAGATCGATAAATCCACCACAAAAACTAAAGTGCAGGTGATGTTTCTCAAAATAACTAAATAAACTAAAGCTTAAGATCTGTTGAGCATAAATGTAACGTAAAACAAAATTGATGTTACCTTTTGTGTTTCCCCTAGTTAACTTGCCATGGCGGGGTGCTCGTCTCATCCATGATTTTTGTTGACGGGGGTACAGAAACGTCTTGAGTGCAGCTTTTACCAACAGTTTTCTTTTGGGGGGAATAAGCATGAGGGAAGAGGCGCCTTTAGCTTTTTAGCTAGAGCACCTGTATTGCGCACTGCTAGCGCTTAGTGTGGCACGTTTGATTTGTGCACTGTTTATACAGACAGTTTTTGAGTGCGTGTGTGTGTGGGGGGGGGTTGTTCAGCTTGAGAGAAGAGGCAGCATGAGTGCTGCTTTTTAGCTATAGAGCCTGTATTTCGCGCTGCTAGCTTAGTGCTATGTCAGTGGCAGGCGGGCAGCTGTGGCTGAGTGGTTAGAGCAGCCGTCCTCCAATGCGAGAGTTAGGGGTTCGAATCCACCAGCAGTCACATGTCGAAGTGTCCCTGGGCAAGACACTGAAACCGTCATAGCCTCTGATGTGTGTCCCATCAGTGTATGAATGTGATCTAAAGCACTGATTAGTCTCTTTAGAATGATTTGTTCAATTAGCTTTGTAGAGATTTAGTAGAGTGCTGTATGAATGGGTAAATGAGGACACAGATTGTAGCGTAAAGCACTTTGAGTGTCTTGAAATAAGATAGAAAGGTGCTATATAAGTACAGTCCATTTACCATTCAGTGCTGGGTGGGGCAAGTTCAGTTTGGTAGGCGGGGTGCTCAGTTCTGTTGATGGGGTGGGGCACCCCGCTTGTATAATGGTAGGGGAGACACTGCTTTAAATGAGCTATAACTCCCAAAACTTGTAACAAGGTGATCAGCTGACCCTGAAACTTGTGGCGTTTCAGCTTCCTCGCAGGAATGATTCCAATTCTCTGATGCTCTCTTTGATCACCTGACTCGTTTCTTGGTCCACGGACTGACTGTGGAACTATGAGACACAGCTGACCTGCACGTGTTTGTACCGAAGTTGGGGTGGAGGGTGGGATAAAAAGCTGAGTTGCGCTGGTCGGGGGAGGGAGAGACAGTTGAGCTGTCACTGTCTGTACCCGCAGTTTAGAGCTGGATGGAGAAACGCAGCAGACACGCAGCAGAGCTGCGCATTTTGTTTTTAGCATTTTAGCTAGCTAGCATTGTGCTCGACTAATTAGCGTTATGCCAATACCGACTGGTGGATGGGGAGTGCGCATTTCGGTAGTTCGGTGCGCTCGGTTCGGTTAACGGGGCAGGGCAAACACTGACGTACTTGCGTCATGAAATTAGCATATCATGATATGGTTGGAACTGGTTTTCAACCAGTTTGACAAGACTGTCAACAAGGAAGAGGGCCGGCAATGGAGGAGGAGCGTACCAAAGAGACCATCTAATCACAAGCAGAACTGGTTTGTTCCACTTTGGAGTAAGCTGTTGGGGGAAGAATCAGTTTTGTTGTTTCCTTGACGATGAAGCCTTCTGGATCGAAGTTGAAACGTTTCAGCACAAAAAAAAAAAAACTGTCCAGATGACCTGACTGAAAAATGTTGGATTTTACACCTGGATTATTGAACATGGACTTTGTTGATATCATGATATAATTTATTTTCCCAGGCAAGCTTTTTTTTTTCGTATTATTATACGAAATATTGTGAACGATATGATATGGCCCAGCCTTAGTCTGAACTCCACAAATTGCAGCAGAAACAGGATAGATCATATATTGTTGAATTTTGTTAAAATAATAAATAAAATATATTTTTTAATTTGTTTATAGATTATACATAGACTTCCAGAGATGGTTCGAACAGAATTTGGACCGCCACGCTTAAAGCCCAGGTAATCTCTCAGCTATAATCTTACAATTTAATAAGCCTTTGCTTTGGTTTTTATTTATTTGAATGATTAAAGTTAAATGCAAATGGTAATTTTACACAATGATTTGAAATATACAGGTCCTTCTCAAAAAATTAGCATATTGTGATAAAGGTCATTATTTTCCATAATGTAATGATAAAAATGAAACTTTCTTATATTTCAGATTCATTGCACACCAACAGAAATATTTCAGGTCTTTAATTGTTTTATTACTGATGATTATGGCATACAGCTCATGAAAACCCAAAATGCCTGTCCCAAAAAATTAGCACATTTCATCCCACCAATGAAAGACAAGTGTTTTTAATACAAAAAACGCCAACCTTCAAATAATCATGTTCAGTTATGCACTCAATACTTGGTCGGGAATCCTTTTGCATGAATGACTGCTTCATTGTGGCGTGGCATGGAGGCAATCAGCCTGTGGCACTGCTGAGGTGTTATGGAGGCCCAGGATGCTTCGATAGCGGCCTTAAGCTCATCCAGAGTGTTGGGTCTTGTGTCTCTCAACTTTCTCTTCACAATATCCCACAGGTTCTCTATGGGGTTCAGGTCAGGAGAGTTGGCAGGCCAATTGAGCACAGTAATACCATGGTCCACCATTTACCAGTGGTTTTGGCACTGTGAGCAGGTGCCAGGTCATGCTGAAAAATGAAATCTTCATCTCCATAAAGCTTTTCAGCAGATGGAAGCATGAAGTGCTCCAAAATCTCCTGATGGCTAGCTGCATTGACCCTTGATAAAACACAGTGGACCAACACCAGCAGCTGACATGGCACCCCAGACCATCACTGACTGTGGGTGCTTCACACTGGACTTCTGGCATTTTGGCATTTCCTTCTCCCCAGTCTTCCTCCAGACTCTGGCACCTTGATTTCCGAATGACATGCAAAATTTGCTTTCATCTGAAAAAAGTACTTTGGACCACTGAGCAACAGTCCAGTGCTGCTTCTCTGTAGCCCAGGTCAGGTGCTTCTGCCGCTGTTTCTGGTTCAAAAGTGGCTTGACCTGAGGAATGCGGCACCTGTAGCCCATTTCCTGCACACGCCTGTGCACAGTGGCTCTGGATGTTTCTACTCCAGACTCAGTCCACTGCTTCCACAGGTCCCCCAAGGTCTGGAATCGGCCCTTCTCCACAATCCTCCTCAGGGTCCGGTCACCACTTCTCGTTGTGCAGCGTTTTCTGCCACACTTTTCCCTTCCCACAGACTTCCCACTGAGGTGCCTTGATACAGCGCTCTGGGAACAGCCTATTCGTTCAGCAATTTCTTTCTGTGTCTTACCCTATTGCTTTAGGGTGTCATTGATGGCCTTCTGGACAGCTGTCAGGTCGGCAGTCTTACCGATGATTGCGGTTTTGAGTAATGAACAAGGCTGGGAGTTTTTAAAAGCCTCAGGAATCTTTTGCAGGTGTTAGTAGTTATGTCGTTGATTCAGATGGTTAGGTTAATAGCTTGTTTAGAGAACCTTTTCATGATATGCTAATTTTTTAGGACAGGTATTTGGGGCTTTCATGAGCTGTATGCCATAATCATTAGTATTAAAACAATTAAAGACCTGAAATATTTCTGTTGGTGTGCAATGAATCTGAAATATAAGAAAGTTTCATTTTTATCATTACATTATGGAAAATAATGACCTTTATCACAATATGCTAATTTTTTGAGAAGGACCTGTACAATGTATATGTTTTAATCATTTATATATTTGTGTGCCCTCCCAGACCCTATGGAGATGGTCGTGGACATAATGAGGGAAGTTACAGCCCTGGCTCCAGAAGTCGAAGCGACGGCCAGGGCTACACCGAGAAGCCCCCTCCCAACTGGAGGGATTCCAAAGGTAGAGGACGAGGACGGCCGCCGGTCGACAGAAGAGAAATGGAAGAGCAAAGAGAGTCTCGTTTTAATCGTTGGAGGCCATCCTCCTCATCCCACCCTCCCAAAATGGGGCCACATTCTAGTCAGCGGAGGTCGCCCCCACCTAGGCTGAATCGCCCCTCGCAAGATCAGCGTCGCCCATCCCCTCACGGTTCTGCTCAAGGACACCAGAGTCAAAGGGGCCCACCTTTCTACGGTCATCCCTCAGATCATAGATTCTCTTCCCCAAGACATTTTCGTGGCCACCCAGCTGACAGGAGGCCAGGCTCTGCGCCACCCTACCAGGGATCTTTCAGGGGTCCCAGAAGACAGCCTGGGTTTCCCCACGAGCGGAGTCGAGACCCTCATCAAAGAGGAAGGCCCTATATGCCGTCAAGTCGTGGCATGAAGCGCTGGAATGAGCCTGGATCGTTCTCTTTGTCACACAATGGGCAGCACCGGCCCCCTGGGCCACAGAGGAGTCCCAGGGAGATGCCTGGGAGAGGCTCATGTCCAGAGAGGTATAGAAGCGAACCGATTCCCCAAGCTGGGTAAAATGATAATGGAGGAGGCCAGAAACTGGTCACTTCTCCCAGTCACAAATATTCTAATGATCAGCTCTCCTCCAGCTCATGTTTGTTCTAGTCAGTAAAAATGAGTCTGATTTTTAAATGTGACGTTAAGAGGAGTGTTGCATCTGTAATTCCCCTTTGAAAGTTTACCCCTGCTACCTACCGGTATTTGATTCTGTCGGCTTGTGAAAGGGCTGCATTTAAGATAAAAGTTAAAACTTCCCCGTCCCACTTAAAATGGCAATGGATTTGTCATTGTAATGATTTTTTCTATTGTTTGATGGAAATGCAGGTGGTCGTCTGAACAAGACTCCAGGCGGCAGCGTGGTCCTGCGGAGAGGCAGGGCAACCGATCCCACAGCCGAGAGAGGGCACAAGATGTCCCTCATCCGCCCCCTCACAGATTCCCCTCATGGAAAAGAGGTCCATCACCATCATCATCTTACCACAGGAACCTTCAGGACAGACAAATGTCAGGACCCCATAAGAGGAGGCTATCGGGTCCTGAACTGCAGCATGGCAGTCTAAAATACCCCAGGAGAGAGAGACCTCAGCTGATGAGTCTACCCAGGCCATTTAGCGGTCCACCCTTGTCTTATAGGGGTAGAGGTTACCTAGTTAGAAGTCGGCAAATCGGAGCCGAGTCTCTTATGAGGCTGAGAATACCCATGAATGCGAGACCCAGGCTTCGTCTGGGTGACATGGCTGCACGGGGAAATGCCAGTTCTGTTTTTACTCTCAGGAAGAGGCGTTTCCCACTAAAGGCAGTTCCTCTGAAAAGGCTGGAGCCAAGAAAGCCCAAACCACAAGACTCGCCCTCCAGAGAGGAAGACAAAGCCAGCAAATCCTCAAGAGACTCTGGCTCAGGAAAAGAACAGGTGGAGTCTCGCCGATCCTTGAGCAAACACAGGTACGGTATTTTTCTTGTAGCGCTGTTCGCAGGGGCTTGATGATGATGATGATTAGGAGGTCAAGAAAGAATGTGTGAAAGGGGTGCCGGCTGTGGAAAATGGAGATATCATGATGAGCTAAATGTGATTCGTTTGATGCAAAGCCACAACATTCTCAAACGCCGCCCAAACTGCGTGCTACATGATTTTAAAATACCTACCACTCATATGGGATGAAGAAGCACTTTAGACTCCAAATATTGTTAAAGCTGGCCAGTTAATCCTGAAGAAAACGCATAAAAGATGCCTAATATGGCTTGAGGCAACTGTTAGTTGAGCTGAAGAAATCTGGCACTCGGCGCCTAAAGCTCAAAGTTGCTTTCCCTGCATGTTGTGAAGACCTCTTTGCTCTCAGTACCATACATCACAATGTAAAATTACATTTCCATTGGCAAAGCATGCTGTGAAGAGGACTAACAGAAACTGCCAAGGAGCTGCTTAAAAATGACTGGGAACTGGTCGATCGCCCTTCAGTTAATAATGCAGCAGCGTCGTTTCCTTATCAGCAACTTTTGATGGCCTCTGTTAAAGCAAGACACAAAATTTACAAGCAAGTGGATTGAGGATTTTCCTAGATCCAAGTCTGATCTGGAGTTATCCCATAGCCAAGTTGGATGGTGACAGACGACAAAATAATGCAAGAAATGTTTGGAACACTGCTTGCCCCTATTAAAGCTGGCTGGCAACAAACAAATGTATTCTTACCAATAGCCCAACTATAATTTGTACTTGTAAGGTTTACAAATAATATCACTGGTTATTTGATGAACCAGAGTGCCTATATGTTAAGCTTATATTTTCAAGACCACCCCCCCAATTTTTTTATTTTTTACAGAAATGTTAAGCAAAGTAAAATTCAAAATGAAGCTAATTGATCCGAGAAGAAGTACTTTCTCAAACTTCAGTCCACATTTTTTCCCCATGGTGCCTCATCAGTTCCTTCTGAAGTCCATCGATGAAGAGGATCCAGATTACCTTCTTGTTCTTCGTCCCCACTAAATTCTCGACTTCTCTGGAGTCACAAGAAGCATTTCTGTATTTCCCAAGCTGTCAGGCTTGCAGCAAATCATCTTTTCAGAGCTGAATAATCATACTGAACATTACTTGTTCAAATGATCCCGTAATGAAGTCAACTCTGCAACCATCAAACTGCAAGGTGGACGGATGTATTTGAGTGCAGGATTGCTGCTGTGAAGTGTGCCGTTACAGAATAAATTGCTAAAAAGGCCACAAAAGAATATTGTCAAATTCTCAGAGGGATGATGTGCAAATGTTGAAGATGAAACGGATTTAAGAAAATTGTCTTGATAAACTTAAGCAAAACAAAAATAGACCTCAAGTTACTTGATGCTGCATCAAGATGGTTTTCCTCACAACACTGTGTTCCATTTTCATCTGAGGGATCGGATCAGCCAGCATTTCTTATTTCATATCTCATGCAACCCTAAGTCTAGTCAGAAGTTCGCATCATTGAGCCTGGAAATAAAACCATCACAAGCCTTTTTACCAGCCTCTTGCAACTTTCTGGCACTGAACGTGTCTAAAGCAGAGCTGTTTATATCCACCTGCAAAGTTAAAGCCCTGAGTTTGATGGAAAGACGTTCTACAGGAGTTCTTGGTCCTTTATCCTACTGAAATGGAGAGTGCACACACCATCCTGTAAAGTCTGCTTGGCTTGTCTGTAGACTTTGACCTCTGAGTCATCCTGAGTGTCTGGATTAAAAGAAGAGGAAGAGATTAAACAATATTGACACCTCCTTTTGTGGATTGTCTTGAAACTCGCTCTGATGGCATCTAAAACCCAGCTGTGGAGAAGAATCTGCTGAGCTCACCAAGTATCTTACATTTGCACACATCTTCAAGATGATCCACCTCAAAGTTGGTATCATGTCCCTTGGATCGTTAACTGACAGAGGAAAACTGAAGGAACATCTAGGATCAGCTAAGTCTGATCATAACATAACGTCGTCCCCCCCCCCCCCCCCCCAAGGTTGTCAAGGATTGATAGAAGACACGATGTGAACTAGACCACTATCTTTGAATCCTCCAGGATTTGGCCATTCTAACAATTGATGAGTAAACGGAGAAAGCTCAGATTGATTCAGGGTACAAAAATAGGAGTAAAGAAGCATGGACATTCCATGGTTTTTGTAAGTACCCAAATGATGTGTGGCTTTATAACTTGACTGCCTGCAAAACACTATTTATTACTCGTTAAAACTGTTATTACCATTAACAGCTGATGGGGTAATGTAGTCTTCCTTAAATTGTGCTTTTTTTATCATTTGAAAATTGTTACTGCTGCAGGAATGATTAAGCAAAATTCAAACGTGATCTGACGTTGGTCTCTCTCCTCAGGTCTTCTCCCATAGAGAAACGGGATCTTGTAGTTTTGTCTCACTGGCCACCGAAACCAAGCTCTTCCTCCAAAGATGCTTCACCTCCTAAAGGTCACAGCCCAAAGTCAAAGACTGGTAAACCAACACTTTGTGGTCGAGTCTTTATCGTTATTGTACGTCTGTTGAAAGGTCTCTGTCAGTATGTCCATAAACTTTCTCTTGTCTTTCCCATAACTTCTGATCCACTCAAGATAATTTAACGAAACTTCTTGCACATTATGCACCATTAGCAGATGGGAGTGTCTCGTAGGCATGTCACGATAACAAATTTTGCTGGGCGATTGTCTCAGAAATTATTGTGATAAACGATAATGTTTTAAAATTTGACAATAATTTGTAATGTCAAATTTAAGAGGAAATGTTTGTTAATTTTGTGTGTAGTACCTTTTTTGACCACTTTATGGCAGTATAAGACTGTTAGAACTGAAGGATGGATAGTAAGGGAGCGAGCATTGTCTCTTTAAGAAAAATGGGAGGGAGGCTCCTTGACGTGACATGGGCTTTCTCTCGTTCCTGTTTTTCGGTTCTCAAAATGGCGGACGCTTGGTGTGGTTTGAGCTCTTAAGCATAGCATTTTTCACACAAAGCTTTTAATAAAAAATCAGTGAACAGGTTCTCAGCTTCTTTTTTCAGAGAAAAACAACTTTACATGAAGGCACGGGTTTCAACCGTGAATTTTGGAGCTTTGACAAGATGGAAGTTTTTGCCTGAGGTCGGCCTGTTAGCTTAGCTTATAGCTTAGCTTCTCAGCTTAGCTGCTTTTAACGATCCTAAAACACGATTTTGGACAGTTAAAACAGATTTTAAAGAGAAAGAGAGGGGTCAGTGAAGAGCACTAGAGTTGAACCTTTTGTCATCCAGTGTCTTCAGTAGAAAGAGAGAGACACGAAGAAACGATAAATCCGATAAATGAAAATGAGGTTGATAATTTTCATTAATCGTGGGATTAATTGATTTATTGTTATTGCAACAGGCCTAGTAGCTCGTACACTTCATCACCCCAGATCCAAGGTCCCAAATCAAAGTCAAAGTTAAACCACGGTCTTGGCTTGTACGAGACATTGCTATAGATTGCTATACAGTAGTCCCTCACTTATCGTGGGGGTTACGTTCCAGACACCCCATTGATAGTAGGGACGTTGTATTTATATATATTTTAAGGCTTTATAAACCTTTCCCACACTCTTGTAGGGCTGAGTACCGAACCGAGGTTCTTTTATTGCACCGACCGAACTGCACCGGTCGCTGTTTGTATTGAAACGTCACTCTTCTTTCGGTGTCAAGTTTCGGTATTGGCTGTAACGTGTCATGTGATTTCAGCATGCAGGCAGGCAAAACACCAGACGTATAACAGACTACACCCAGGTTACATCCAGAGCTGTATAGAGCTGCTGTACCTAATCTATGTATACTGTAATGTATGTCTATGGTGCTGGTGACGCCCACAGACGGGTTCACGTGTGCAGCGCGTGTTGTCGAACGGCTTTGACAACACATGAGCAGAAAGTTGCTCCGTGTTTTTCTGCGAGGAGAGTTCATTAGCCTCCCCCCTCCTCCTCTCATCATTAAAGTCAGCCTGTGAGAGCCTGAACGTCCTGATTCATTATCTCCACGACTGGACTCTTCATCAAAGAACTCCAAGGACGGCTCTGTGTGCTTCAGCTGGTGAGTTTACGTTTGTTAACACGTACTTCCCGGTGAAATAAATTATGATCCATGTAACGCTAACTTTAAGATATTAGTGTGTAAATTTATTTTATCTACGTAGCTAACTAAACTCAGAAGCTAACTAAAGATTGACAGTAACATAAATCTTAGCTTGTAAAACTGCTCATCCATCCAGTCAGCTGCTTAAACAGTTCACTAATGTTCACTGTTTATGTTCATGTTCTTCTCACAGGAGGTTCTGACCCTGATGTGAGGACAAAAGAAAAGCGAGGTGGGGCCACAGGACAGTCAGACTTTGTTGTTAAAAGTCTGCTGCTTTTTCTACAGTGGAGCTGCACAGTGGAGGTAAATTAAACTTTTTAAAGGATTTTGTTGACCAGTTGAGCTTTTATCGCTCAGCCTAGATAATGTTTTTTGAGTAATAATAACACAACCATGCTGGTGTTGTTTTGTTCTCATGTCAATTAGGGAGATGATCAGAGCCCTAAACCCCAGAGAATCACAGGGAAGATTCAGGCAGAGACACAGAGGTGCAGAAGTCTGCATCATCCCTACCTCATTGAATCCAGTGACCTGCTGGTGAAATGTGAGGGACACATTCAGTGCTATCAAACTGACAACCAGGTATCTGTGTGTGCAACAAGCATCATCTACAGCCTCAGAGTGAACATTTTCTACTGCTGGAGACACCATCAGCCAGGAGTGGGCTTGTTTGTGTCCACAGAAAGCAGACATGTTGATTTTTCTGAAGGAAAACTGTTAAGTGAAAAGATCCTCAGTGTGTAGCAGTGAGCATTAGACACTGATGTGTCACTGGTTTGTAACTGGTCTTTTGACCTGGAAATTATTTGTTTGTTATGTAAGAAAACTGCTTGGAATAGAAAAATACCAAAGTTTAAAAATAAAACTCACAATTTGTACTGTAATGTGTAACGTAATTTTATTCTTGTTAGAATTAATTGTAATTACAAAATTGGTACCGAAAAAAGAACCATCCAGGAACCGACACCGAAGTGAAGGTACCGACACCGGTACCGTTTTTTTTTTATTTTTTTAGAAAGGTACCCAGCCCTACACTCTTGCAGTGTTCTTAGCCCTGTTCTAAACCATAAAAAGCTATAAAAAAAAAAAAAGCACAGCATGTCATGCTCTCACCTCTGCTCTCTACCACGCCCACTTCTCTGCAGTCACACTCATGCTCATCACCTGCGTCACTCCCAATCTCACTCCTGCTGCACTTATTCGCTGCGCTTCTTAAGCACTACCCAGTCTCTGCTTCCATGCCAGATTGTCTGATCGCCTTGTGCCTGAATTATTCATCATTTTTGTTCCTGCTCTCGTTCCTAAAGGCTTGGTTTAGGTCGCGCTTGATTAATTTACATAATCTATGCCGCTCGTGTAGCCCACTCAGGTATAAGTCAAGACACCCCCCACCCCCTCCTTTCTTCTTCCGAGGCTGTCGTGCATCCGCCTGCTGTGCGTCTCTGGGATACGACGGGAAACGACAGACCCCATCCCCTGCTCCCTCTTTCTCTGCTGTGACAGTCAGCCTCAGAAAGAGAAAGGAGGTGGCGGGGGTGGGGTCTGTCTGGTCATCTTGTCTTGCGTTGAAAACTGCAAAAGAGTGCAAAAGTCGAACTATAAAGTATCGAGGGACTACTGTATAATGGTTTGTCGGCGGGTGTGTAATGTGCTGTATGTTGTGCTCTTGTTCACTAAAGTTTTACACAAATGTTTTCTAAGCTTTGGCTCAAAACATCCTTTAAATTTTTTCTGTTTATTTTGCTTTAGACCGCAGCTCAGATGGAGAGACCACATCAACCAGGCGACGCTCGACTGATTCCAGATCGCCTGAAGACAGAAAATACTTGGAGAAGAGGGTGTTCAGGTACCATACACAATTTTACTGACGAGATGTTCTTGTCCAGTTTTCAGCCTCTTATCTAAAACAATGTAAAATACTGAAATATTACTCTAAAAAATGTTTGTTTTTTATTTAAAATATTATTATTTTGTTTTTTTAAAGACCACCCAACGTGATGCATGACACCAAAGCATCGAGGCCTTTTAGGAGACCAGGACCCATGCCTGTAAGTACAGGAATCCATGGACTGAATTTCTGTCTGGTTTTTGTTGTCTGTAAAGGGGGCGGCTGTGGCTGAGTGGTTAGAGCAGTCGTCCTCCAGTGCAAGAGTTGGGGTTCAATTCCACCAGCAGTCACATGCTTAAGTGTCGCTGAGCAAGACACTGAACCCCTCATTGCCTCTGTGCGTCTCATCAGTGTATGACTGTGTTAAAGCTCTGATTAGTCTTTATGCTGTATGCACAAAGACTAATCAGTAAATGAGGGCACAGATTGTAGTGTAAAGCATTTTGAGTATCTTGATTCAATAAGAGAGCTCTATATAAGTACAGTACATTTACCATTCCATTTAAAAAGGAAGGGGGGTATTTTGTGTGTGTGGTCTTGTTAAATCCAGTGTTTTCCCTACATTATCCAAGGAGGGCGCCCCACTGTCAACAGAACTGTGTCCCGCTGACCAAATCCCCCACTCTGCTCTGCGACTTCCTGACAGGGAGCAGAGATTGGTAGCTCAGACTCCAAACCACGCTCAATACAAACGTAGCGCTCCGCAATAATAACTAATGCCCCCCCACCACCACCACACACACACACACACACACACACTTCCAACCCCCGTCAACTGCCGGCACTACCATAGTGCTACGCTTCTTTCACCCAAGGGATTTTTGTATATAAAATCTGACATTATTAAATGTTAGTGTTCGTAACATCATCATTGTAAAGACGTTCAACTTAAGCAAAACCTTTTTTATTTGCTTTAATCTCTGGGATTGATTGTAACTGAATTGTCATGGTAAATCCTTGTAGCATCTTTTGGGGGAAAAATCGGCGTCACATTTTCATCTTTGCTTTTATGTATTTATTTTGGTGCAGTCAAACATGCCCCCCCCCCCCCCCCCCCCCCGGTCTAAACATATTTTTATGTCCGACTCTTCTCAAACTATCTCATAACCTCATAGTAACTTTACTAGACAATAAAAAATACACAGAATAAATCCAACTTTTAATCCCATATTTATCATTAAAAATATATATATATCATAAACTAATTAATTCCTCTCATTGTGTTTGTTTTTTTTTCCTTCTTTTTATCTTTACTACCAAACTTTAGATTTTGACATTAGCCCACAAGATGATGTTCCACCTTTTATATTTGAGAGCCTCCAAAAAAAAAGATTTTCAACTCTCAACCGGAAAAAGTTTCTTCCTCGGCCAGATTCTCTGCGGATTCCTGCCTCATCTCATCCAACAAAATTGTTTTAGTTTGGATGTAAAGAGCAAAACCTGGCTTGTAACGCGCACAAGTAAACATTAAGTTTTAAAAAGGTGTTTGACATGCATGCAGGCTGCAGCATGAAACACAGAGTGTCTGACTGCCGTCTGTTTATCTGAAGGCAGGAAGTGATTAAAGGCTGCACCTGCAGCTCGCTCGTGTTTCAGGGTCGGTACAGGTGGAAAACTATTTTTAAACTAGTGATTCTATCACGAGCAGAGTTTTAAAAATATTGTAATTATTAAACAAATAATAATTAGGAGAAAAAATGTCCCATGTTTGGAGATATGAGCAAATTGGACCAAAAACAAAGCCTCATTTTCTGCTGCTGGATCTGAAGGCTCTTCACAAAACTGAGGACTGGAATAAAAAAAAGTCTAATCATTTTGGATGAATTAATGAGGGGGAATGCTTTTTTTTTTTTTTTAGATATTGCCATAAGATAAACATTTTGAATTTATAAAACACTGGAGTTTATTTATTTATTTTTTTTTTTTACGCGAAGCATTAAAATAATCATTTAAATTTGATATTTTTATTTTAGACTGAAATAGTTCTAAAAGATAGACTAGTTTCTTGTGGGCAAATGAAAAGGTATTTTTAAGCAGTTAATCAGTTTTTCCAGAGGGTAAATGACTGAAAGCTGAAAGTTTGCACCAACAACAAAGATGCACGCTGAGCTTTGCTTCAATGTTGAAATTCACTGGAATTTATCAAATATTGTGTAAATGAATCTTTATAGATGTTTCCGTTTAGAGCAAGTCCATTATAGAGACATGAAGATTTGATAAGGACTAAAGGGTCTGTTTTTTACAGTTATGACATCTAATCTTTCATCATCGTGTTTTACAGAGGCAGAGATTTTCTGGTGGTCCAAGACACTCAGGCCCAGACCTGTCTGGACCTTTTAGAAGACCACTCATGGTAAACACTCCTGTTACAAGATCTCTTACTACTTCTGGAAGTTTATTTTTATGTACATCAACTCTAATTTCTTTGTAACTGTTTTCTTGTATTTATTAGGAGACTTTAGTCCCACGTCCTTTCTCAAACCAGAGGTCAATGTTCAGAAAAAGCTACAGCATCGTGTCCAAATACCGCAACATGAGAGTGATGCGTCAGCGTGTTCCCTACACCCGAGGACCCAGCCATCAACGCTAGTGACAACGCTCGGTAGGCTAAGAGCGGTGCGGTGCAGTTTTTAATAATTAGTTGCTCAAATTAATACAAACTTAATTGTGATCCAAACGCAGGTCCTTAATTCTACGAACAGAGTTGGGAAATCCTGAAGCTTTTTGTTCATCCACACCTTCAGAACCTGTTGAGTCACTTCAAGCCCGACCCATCTGCAGTTTGTGGAAGTGTTCTTGCTAACATGTGGTCTTTGGTAGAAGTGTTTCCTCCATCCTAAGAGTACTACTGTACTTAGTTTAGAACTTTTGTAACATATTATACTGTCTTGGTGTTTTTTTTTCTGGTGTTTTATGATTTGAAAGTTGTTGCGTTAAAAGATCTTGGAAGGCCTCATTTTACTTGGATAGTGCTAGTATTTGTTTAGTAGGCAGCGGTAGAATTCATTTTGTGTTGTGGCGTTTAAAGCTTGTATTGTGATCACGTACTGAGTTTGACATGAAATCAACAACTTGGGAGTCAAGAATTTTTTCTTAACTATTTCCACAAAAGTCACAATAAACGGATGTTTTTGAGAACCATGCAATGATTTTTTTTAACCCCCCCCCCCAAAAAAAACAAACAAACAAACAAACAAACAAACAAACAAAAAAAAACAACCCAACTTGTAATAAGCAAGTAATCCGGTAATGTGTAATATTTCATCCAACATTAGAATTCAGCTTTTAACTACTCTGGGTTTTACACACTTGAATTGGATTTTTTTACCTGTATTTTCCAGGCCTGGGTAACTGGGAGAACAATATTAGGATTGTTTTTATTTGTGAAAGTTAATCAGTCAACCTTTATTTATACAGGTAAATCCCATTGAGCCTTGAGGACTCATTTACAAGAGAGACCTGATTTCAACAAAGAAAGATGACAACAATGGACAACAGCAACAACAATAAGCAGTTATAAAAACTCATACTAGTTTTTTTTTTTGTTTTTTTTTTTTTTTTAACAAATAGGATGGCTAAAAGGAAAAAGGTAACAAAACAAAAAAAAAAACAGCTAGATTCCAAGACAAATGTATAAAACTAAAAACAGGAACATGTCTGCATTGGTCCCTGCCAGGAGTCCAACAGATTCTTAAAGCCACTTAGAGAGGTCAAGGTCGAGAGCTTCAAATCTTTTTGTAAGATATTCCAGGAAACAGGAGCGGAGTAGGATAAGGCCCTTTTGCCTAGTTCAGTCCTCACTGAGGGAACACTGCAGGTAATAATGTCCTGAGAGCGCACTCCGTAGCTGCACTCACGCAGAGACATGTAGGAGGAGATGTATGAAGGCAGCAGACCAAGAAGTGATTTAAAGATGAAAATGTACCAGTGAGAGAGTCTGCGTGAAGTTAATGATGTCCAGTTAACCAATGAATACAGGGTGCAGTGGTGGGTACGATAATCACAGCCAGTTATGAATCTTAGTGCACCATGATAGACAGCATCCAACATCTGCAGGGTTCTTATAGGAGCGTTCATGTAAATAATATCACCAAAATCAATTGAGGGAAGGAAAGTCACAGATACAAGGCGTTTTCTAGCATTCAGGGTTAGACAGGATTTGTTTCTGAAAAAGAAACCCAGTTTAACTTTCAGTTTCTTTACCAAGTTTTCCACATGGAGCTTAAAAGAAAGATGTGAGTCGACCAAGATACCCAAATATTTATAGGAATCAACAAACTCAATGGGGACACCATTTGAGGATAAAATCGGAGGAAGAACTGCTGGGACCAACTTCCTATTTGAAAAAAGCATCCCTTTGGTTTTTTCGGCATTTAGGACAAGTTTGAGGTGAAACAAATCAGTCTGGATGTAGTTAAATGCAGATTTCAGAAGCTGGAAAGCCTTAGCAACTGTTTTAGCTCGACAATAAACAACTGTGTCGTCAGCATAGAAATGTATGGATGCATTAGGGATGTTTTTACCTACATTATGTATGTAGATTGTAAAGAGGGTGGGTCCTAAGACTGAGCCTTGTGGTACACCATTATTGAATGTTAAATAACTGGAGGAAGTACCATTATGTTGAACACATTGCCTCCGGTCTGAAAGATAGTTAGAGAACCAACCAATGGTGTGATCTGAGAAACCGATTTCTGAGAGTTTATGACACAAGATGTTATGATCCACAGTGTCAAAAGCTTTAGACAGGTCTAAGAAAAGTGCAGCACAATAATCCTTAGCATCCAGTGCTTCAACAACGTCATTAAGAACCTTCAGTGAAGCAGTGGTTGTGCTGTGTTGTTTCCTGAAACCAGATTGATGTGGAGGTAAGATGTTAAATGAGTCCAGGTAATTTTTGATTTGAGAGTTTATCAGTTTTTCTAGAACCTTGGCTAAAATGCAGAGTTTAGAGATTGGTCGATAGTTGTTCAGTGATGTGGGGTCACCTCCCTTCAGCAAAGGAAGAACAAAGGCTGTTTTCCAAGTGTCTGGGATGGAGTTTTGTCTTATGGAGAGATTGAAGATGTGGGTCACAGGGACTGTGATGATGTGAGCAGCCAGCCTTAAGAAATAAGGTGGAAGTTCATCTGGACCTGCAGATTTTTTAGGATCAAGATCTTTTAACAGTTTATTGACCTCACTGACTGAGAATGGAGAAAAAGAGAAGCTGTGATTAACTGAGGATTGACTTGTAGGAGGGATTTGATTTGTAGAAGTTTGGTTATTAAGTGAAGTGACTGATCTTCCATTAGTAACTGTGTCAAATAAAGAGCCAGAAGCAACAAAATGTTTGTTGAAACAGTTCAGGATCTCGTGCTTATTTGACACAGGAGCAGAGTTAACGAGAAGTTGTGATGGGAGGTCAGATGATTGGGGGGTGCCTGAGAGAGATTTGATGGTTTTCCAGAATCTGTTAGGGTCATTTAGATTTTTGGAGGTCTGAGATAAGAAATAGTTTCGTTTTGCTGCTTTGACAGCAGTTGTACATTTATTCCTCATCTGTCGAAAACTCAACCAATCAGTGTCTGAGTCAGATTTTCTCGCTGTGGCCCAAAGATGATTTCTCCTGTGCAGGAGGTCAGCTAGCTCTGGAGTAAACCAGGGGCTGTCTCGTCCCTTTATTCTGAACTGACGAAAAGGAGCATGTAAGTTCAGGAAATAAATGAAATTATTATGGAAATAGTTCCAAGCGGAGTTCACGTCATCAGTTAACAGAATACGATGCCAGTCAAAGTGAGACAGATCCCAGAGGAATGACTGTTCACAGAAATGTTTCAGATCCCTTTTTTTAATTAATCTGGACTTAGAAGGTGGAAGTTTACTATTTCTTAAAGCCGCTGTCACACAATGATCACTCAAAAGATCAGCGAATACACCTGTACCAGGGAATTTGTGAGGCATATTAGTTAGAAACAGGTCTAAGATGGAGGAATTGTCAGGGTGGCTTTTATTTAATCTGGTGGGGGAGTCGATCAGTTGGGTTAAATTAAAAGACAAGCAACATTCCTTGAATTTGTCACAGAGGGGGGTCGACTTACACCAATCAATGTTGAGATCTCCAGCTAAAAAGACCTCTGTGAATTTTAAATTACCAAGGAATTCCTTCATGGCATTTAATGCCTCAGGTGAAGCTGTGGGGGGGCGGTAGCAGCAGACTACAGTTAAAATCTGGCCTCCATTCAAGGTGATGTTTACAGATAAGGCTTCAAACTGGTTTGGAATTGTTTTGGAAGTCACAAGACTTGAAACCAGAGTGTCTCTAATGTAAATAATGACTCCACCCCCCTTTTTTGACGATCACAGCGGTAGATGTTAAATCCATTGATTGCCACGTCATTATTCATTACAGATTTGTTGAGCCAGGACTCAGAAATAAAGATAACATCTGCCCCAGAAGAACTGACCAGGATTTTCACAGCATCAAGTTTTTTCAGAAGGCTACGAGCGTTTACATGCAGGAAATGAAGCCCAGAGGCATTTTTAAAGTCATTTGGTGTGCTGTAATTAATTCCAGGGTTGGGTTGAATTCCTGAGAGCAGTAACAACATTATTATCAGACATTTTCTTGGGTTTTTTGTGACTGATGTGTGATTACAGCAGTTAACAGTGTGGCAATTATCCCCCATAATTGAACCATGAGAAACATTAATGAAGATGTGATCATTCAGAACCCAAAAACAGTGAAAGTTGCAGTGATGAACAGATCCCTAATGCCTTAGGGACCCAGAGGCATCTCGTTGCAGGAGGCGTCCTGATCAGATGAAGCACCACAAACAACAAATCTGAAATTAAGCAAAATATTTTTTTTACTATATAGTGGAAATTCATTGGAAATCTCAAGAGAAACTGAAATGTTTATTTTCTAATTGTGTCGTCCCAGTAGCTTTTAAACCCCAAAATACATTACAGCAAAGACTGGTTCATCCCAAAGATCCAGTCCCCTGGCACAAACAGTAATATTGTGTATGTTGTTCAGTGTCAGGAGGGCTGTGATCAGTCTTACATCGGGGAAACTAAACAGCCACTGGCCAAAAGGATGGCCCAGCACAGATCATCATCATCAGGCCAGGACTCCGCAGTCTACACTCATCTCCAGGCCAGCGGTCACTCTTTCAGGGATGAAGATGTTCACATCCTGGACAGAGGAACGATGGTTTGAGAGAGGAGTAAAGGAAGCTATCTTTGTGAAAATAAGCAATCATTAAACAGTCGGAGTCCCCCGTGTCCAACTGCCCCCCCCCCCCCCCTGCCATTCAACTTTTTATTTATACAAGTTAGTCCCATTGAGCCTCAGGAACTCATTTACAAGAGAGACCAGAATTTTTAACAGTGATGACAACAATGAATAACAATAGACAATCAAAGGATGCGTACAATTTTTTATTTTATATTTTAAACAAGTGAAAATAAAATGGTAAAAGTAACAAAAAACAGCTCAGTTGTAAAACAATGCAGAAAACTTAAAAACGGGAACATGTCTGCATTGATTTTTGTCAGGATCTTAGCAGATGTTTGAAGCCACTTGGAGAGGTCAAGGTCGAGAGCTTCAGATCTTTTTGCAAAATATTCCAGGGAGCGGAGTAGAAGGCCCTTTTGCCTAGTTCAGTCCTCAGAGGGATCACTGCATGTAATGACGTCCTGAGAGCGCACGCTGTAACTGCAATGCCATTATTGCTAGTATCACTCGGCCCTCTGTGAATAGCAAGTGGCCATCAAGGTACTAACAATCAAGCATTAGGCTGGTGGTCATTTATCATGTGAAAAGCTGGTTTTGTTCGTCACCGGCAAACTGGTTGATCCACTATGAGAAGGTGCTATTTATAAAAGTGAGTTTAGTGCAGCTCTATCAGACTGAAGAAGTGTTTTGTATAAAAGATTAAATGTTTCAGCAGTTTTTTTTTTATTTGTTAACATCTCCAAAGGACCTGACTTATTTTTGTTAGATTTTTCTACCTGGATGCATCAGGATATTTTTTTTTAACTGTTTAGAAGTCACTGGTGTGTCACAAATATAAATGTGGGGTGAATGTGCTGCTGTCATACAGCCCAGGAAGGGTTCTGTGAGCGTGTTTTGGTGTGAAATATGCAAATTGACCTAAAAACATGGAAAA